CGAGTGATTTATCCGTATAATGAAGTCGCACACGGTATCCCGCAGGATAAGGCGATGAATCAAATCGGTAACAGCTAAGGAATAGCGCGACGGCCTACGCGCCGTCAAGTGGCGTCTTTTGCAGTGACGTCACGTGGCGGTGCAAAAAAAAAACGTTTGTGAATGAATATATAAAGATATATATATATATATATATGAAGAATATATATATATATATATACACGAGTTTATATATATATATATATATATATTTACATATATGACTTATTAGTAACGCGGTTTTTCCACGTTTTAGCGAATCTTTACGTCCCCGATGCTCATGGGAAGTATTTTTGTACGTTTACTCTGTACCTACTGTTTCGCTCTAAAACTGTATCTACTGTTATCATTGTGATACTCGCTACTGCGACCGTCTTTTGAACGTTAATGTAATATTACTATAATGATGTGTAATATGAGCGGGCGTGCGTTTAGATATTGATGCGCTCACGCATTAATGACGATCGACGACGGAGGTCTCTTGAATTCGAATTCGACTTTCAAACGCGAGTACTGACCGTAGACTATCGTCGATTATTGTTGTTATTACTATTATTATCATCATCGTCGAATCGTTTGGTTTATTATATCTCGTCAAGACTACCGTTCGCCCGTAATGATCGACACGAATCCTCCTTACGGCGATTACACGTCGCGTACGCCCCCCTTTTTTTTTTTTCAACTCTTAATCTCGCTACGTACAGAACGAAATCCGTTTCCCCCCGCGAGTCCTGCGTAAAACGCGCGCGCGACTCGCGGCCTTGTTCTTTTTTTTCCTTCTCGTCTGTTAATTCTCTACGCAGTTACGTGTGATTTACATTCCTTCGCATTTACACGAACCTGTGCTGCATTTTTTGATCGGTATATGACTCGCCGTTGAATAATTAATCGCATAAACAAATAATACCTATTTATTATAAATGTATATACAACTGTTATTGTATAATAAAGAAGAATGTGAGGGAAATATATACAATTGCGCGATTTTACTCACACAAATGGCGCGTAATTCTCTTTAAAATCGGTCATATTTCATTACATTCTCACCGTCACATGCGTTAAAAATTTCGCACGAATATCTCGGTCCGATTGGCCCGGGTATTCGCGTGTCCCGTGATACATTGATTTCACTGATTCGTAAAAATCCCTCACACTTGCAAGCGTGTGTTTCCAACAATCCTGTTCAGTACGGTTTGGTTCTACATTGATGTTTCTCGGTGTTGAGTTTATGCACCCAGCGGGCGCTTCCACGGTGTGCATATTCTTCTCTCGACATCATCGGTTTTTCCTTCAGCTGCCATATATTAACAAAACATTCCTCGCCGCCCGTCAGCAGGAGATGATTCTGAAGATTTCAAGACACACGTCTGGTCATCGATGCAATTCTCCGAATGGGTGAAATAATTTCCCTCGGCTTACCTGCTCGTCCACCCAACTGTCTCGCACCACTTGATTATTCCCTATGATTTCGTCACACATTTCCAGACGATCGTTCACGATGCTCAAGCACCTTAGTTTCTCCCTAAGGGGAAAAATCAGAGTTACACGCGGAAATATATACTAAACATGCCCGGTATCTCTCTGTTGACATTAATATAATTTTCATAACAATACCCTTGAGGCGTGCTAGATCCCGCTAACACGAAAGGTCGGCCGAACATCACGTTCGTGGGGTGGTATTTCACCACGTAGCAATTATCGGGATCGTCGTCCTGAAAGGAACAAAATCCGTCGATTATTCGGTGAAGAGGAATCCGTTATCGAGATGAAACGCGAGTACACACACCGGTGACACGGCCAAGTGGTTGCGTTCGAATCTCGCGTAGGGGCTGGCATCTTCGCAATTCCACAACTGCAGCGCGTTTGTGTGCGTCGTACACCACAGAGAATCACTGCTTGACCAACCCAGCTTATCCTAAAAAGACATGATTAAGTAAAATCCTCTCTCTCTCTTTCTGTCAACTTTTGTGTAAAAAATACACACGAGATAATTCCCTTACCACCGATGACTCAGTGTTTAAGGAGTGTATTAAGGCCTCATCTTCCGATGGTTCTGCGAGGTCATATACATTTATCAGACCGTCTGTACTGCCCGACGCCAAAACGTCGGGCTTGACGGGATTGAAAGACAGGCAAGTGATGTCGTCCATGTGCGACTCCCAGTATCCACCGGCGATAGTGTTCTTTTTCTTCATTTTCATCCCCGACTTATTGTACCTTACGTCCCAGAATAAAATAAATGCGTCTCCGCCTGTGTGTTCGGTTCCACCGGCTATGAGAGTATCATCACAGTTCACATCGAAGCTAATTATAGATTTCGCATCGTCCTTTTTTGTGTCATCTGAAACATTGGAGAAGAATATTGGAAAGTTGGAATCCATAGCAAAGGGAATCTTCCATGAGTGTTTATAATTGTTAGAATTGACAATTACCTTTAAATTCGGCTACCAATTTCTCTGCATTACGTGTATCAAATGTTCTGATTTTTCCATTTTCACTAGCAATGTATATTATATTTTTATTAACACGACTGAACTTCATTCCGATTACGGATACATCGTCGAAAAAATAGGTAGCTTGAACCATCTGAGTTACTGGGACCATACCATTATTGAGAGAACCTAAGTGACTGAGACCACATGCGGTATACACCACTCCAAACTTGAACCCCTGATCCCTGTATATACAAAAAATAATGCTTAAAAACAAAATTATAACACATGTATAATATGTGCCTGCAATATACTACACATCAAATCAACTAACTACAAAGCGTAGCGATATATCGTTGAACAAAAATACATAAGAAAGAAATGTATTTAAATATTAAAATTTAAAATCATGTACAAGTAAAAAATTGTCTGACATTAAAAATGATAAGAAAATAAAATTACTTTCAAATTTCAATATGCTTCTTTTTAATATTCATACACAATGGTGCTTCACGCATAGTGTACAATGCAGGATATTTTATATTATTATAATAACACGCTCGCTAACAAAGTAGCTTGATAATTGCACGAAGAAAGAATAGCACGAATAGAAGTCAGGCTGTAATATCGTATAGATTTTGATACGAAATGTTCTGAGGAAATATAGGACTTACTGTTCAGATGAGCAAACTGACAGTACGTAGCGAGGCGTTTTTCCTTGTCCTTTGTACGAACGTTGTACATGCAAAATAAACTTGCTCTGTCCACAATCTTGCTGATTATTTTCGTGCGGCTCCACGCCGTTCTTGACGCTCAGATTCTTCAGGGAGTCGACTATTTTCGCCATACCGCTTGTACGTCGCCGAGTCTTGGCCTAATCTAAGGATCCTCGTGGGTATCTAAACGTCACTTTCTGGTGAACTGTAAATGTAAACTAGATATTCTAATATATGTACTGCCGAAACAAATACTTTTTAAAGAAATACATAGTTTGCTAACGAACTTGGTTACGAGAGCACGTGTATATATTCTAACCTTTTGCTTGGAACAAAGACTCTCTCGTACGCTTGGTCTAAAACATGGCTCCCGGCAATCCTCGCAGGTTTCTCCCAGACATCACTTTCCGGATCTGGTCTCTCAAATGTCGCTATTCTCAAACCGAGATTGACGCACAACACACGTGCGAACTAAATGTTTGGAAACAATTCAAACGTTAAGTTGATCCTACGCTACACCGGAAAGTGTAAAAAGTTCATTGCATGCTATTGGCGTTTTCGATTTGCCGACTCGACCCGACTTGGAGTCATCCTACTGCGTTCTGATTGGTACATTTCTAAAAATGGACGAAATTGAGGGAAAATAATTGCTAACATCATTACTAATATTGGTAACTTCATTGGTGAAATGATTTCCGCTATACCGAAAAGCAACGACGAGTTTGTGGAGGGGGCATTAATTAATGCTTGTTATTGACTACATGAGGTTCTGTCACCATATGGAATTAATATTAAAAACTATTCATTCATGTAGTTACATAATCATAAGTTTGCTGCATATATTATAGTCTCACACAAGCCGAAGTAAAAAACGTTCCGCTTAGTAAACCTGAATTCATTGTTTTGACACGCATAACTTAGAGCGACTACTGCTTTCACACATGATTATACTTGAGATAAATTTTAATTACACCGATATAGTTACCCGGTGTTTGCGGAAATTTCATGTCTGAAGTACATAAAACTTGGAAAATATAGAAGGAAATTGTAGGTACGGATGACTAATTGATGAATAATTTTCATCTTCCTGTGTAGCTTGATTTAAATAAGCTTGTAGCAAATTGATATAAGAGTGCTGACTGAGAAAGTGCTTCCTCAAGATGTACATCGCTTCATTTCATTGCAGAATGACTGTATCATATCCCCACTCCCCTCACCTCCCCGAATGGGTCCGCGACCTGGTGGAGGGACTGACGGTTGCGCGCGCAACCAACGAAGTGGGACTCCTTAAATCAGTGTTACCGTGTATCAGTGACCGTGCTGAGAACCGTGCTGTGTTTTAAACAATGTGCTTCCGGACGTTCGTGAGTATAAAACGCGCCAGGCTCAAGGATTTCGCGGCTCTGCCCGAGTGATCATATCATCGCGGTACTCGTGTGACTCAATATAGAGTGAATTAACATAAATAATTCTAATGCGTTAAGGACATTAAAGGGTCCGATTAGCTTGAGAATGAGCGGAAACCTTTGGCCACAAGACACGAGGAACAGAAAGATAACCTGCGTAAGGCAAGGGATGAGGAGGCAAAATCTTATGGGCAATAAACGATCTGGAGAGGAACCGAGCACATCAAACTTCTCGGGGGTCAAATACAACAAAAAAACAAATGTCACCAGTCAAACGTCTTTTATCATCCACAGGGCAGAAGAGAGGCAGCATCGGGCGGATTATATAAATTTTAATATCTCGAAGATAATCAGAATAGCCATCGCTCCGGTGAGCTATCCTGACAAACGACTGAAGGCACAAGAGATCGATCGCATAAAGGATGTAGTGCTGACCCGTATCCTTTGCCTGGCCGAGGGCACAAAGCCTCCGATCTTTCAGAAAACCTATGAAAGAGACGGTGTAATTATTTTCGACTGCATGGATAATCAGACTAGCGCGTGGCTGAAGAGCCTAATGTCCGAAATCACATTTCATGATGGAACTGGTCTGCGTCTGCTGCGAATGAACGAGCTACCCAAGCGAAATCAAGTCGTGCGTTTCGGCGTTGAGAAGATAACCATCAAGGATGCTCTGCAGTTCCTCAGCATACAAAACCCGGGACTTAGCGGCGAAGACTGGAAGTTCGTGGGCTGCACAACATTTATCCAGCCCTGCGTCACCTTCATTGCCCTAATAAAGAGTAGGAACCTGAGGATCTTAAGAGATGTCGGTTTTAAACCCTACTGCGGTCTCAGCCGATTGCACATAACACCGAATTGCAGCTACATCTGCTGCAGTGAAGGAATGGCGAAGGAGTTTTGGACTATGAATTTGACGTAGCATATGACTAATTTACATCTAATCTACTCCGGAGTTCCGCAGGGCAACGTGCTTGGACCACTACTGTACTTACTATACACAGCTGACCTGTTCACCATCAAAGATGTCGTCACTGCTACCTTTGCTCACGATACAGCCATATTAGCCGCGCATGAAGATCCTACAATAGCATTCGGACGAGCGCAAGTCGAGTTAAACGCCATTCAGAAGTGGACTGGAACATAGCGCATCAAAATCAACGAGAAGAAATCCACCAACACAACCTTCACTACACGTAAGGAAACATGTCCACCAGTGTTCTTTAATGGTTTTCAATTATCCTAGGCAGAAGAGGTCAAGTACCTGGGCATGCATCTGGATAGACGTTTGACGTGGAGGAAACACATTTTCATCAAAAGGAAACAGCTGGGATTACAGTTTCGGAAAACTGTCATCCTTCGGATGATCGGACACAGCTCTTAATGGCAAATAAAATCCATCATAAAACCCATATGGACTTATGGAATTCAGCTATGGGACACTGCATCAAACTCGGACATTGGGATCTTGCAAAGAATCTAAATTATTACGCTCACTGGTCAACGCTCCATGACGTTCGTCACCAACGACGCTTTACACAAGGATCTCTCCACATTAACTGTCAGAGAAGAAATAAGAAGACATAGTTTAAACTACAGCAATTGTATAGAAAATCATCCGAATGCTCTTGCAGGAATCTCTTGAAAGAAACTTGAAAGAAACTAAAGTTGCTCGCGTATTTAAAAGACGATTTTCTTAGGATCTAATCAAATGATCCTACATGTTATTTAGGAGAGTACTGTGGAATACTCATTCTACATACCGTTCTTTTCAATAACCTATTGTTGAATGTCTCTCGAGAAGATGGACTGTGTGTTACTTACTATTGTAAGGCAAAAAAGATGTGTTATTTAATTTTATTAATAAATTAATATATCATAGCAAATAATGACATCGACTTATCTTTTCTATTTCCGGCTGATTATGGTTACCTTAATAAATTAAAGCAAAATAGAGGGGAATAGTTATTAAAGATTCCTGATAAAGAGATTTTAAGAGAGTAACAATCAGCAGTCATGATTTTCATAAAAAAATAATAATTGATTGCAGAAGTGGGAATAAAATAAAAAAGAAACGTCAGGGACATAATTACTACTTAATTTTTATTATTGGAAAGTACCAACTACATATTAGTATTATCTTCATTATTATAAAAAACTTAAAAATTCTATTTGTCCCATAGGCCAATCTCTTTCATACGAGTTTGAAAGTATTTTTCTAGAGCATTTGCACATCGATAGTATTCCGTGTCGAGGCTATTGTACAATCTACAATTTGTAAAGATTCGTGTCATGTCTGCTATAAATAATTTCCTAATTGTATAGTATTTGGTTTTCAAACGATCCTCCATAGTCTTGAGATCTGCAACATGAATAGTCGGGTCATTTAATTTTTGTTTTATTATTATCTCAAACTACATTATTTTGTATCTATTCATTATTTTATAACTTTACAAATCGTCCATATTTTAAAACATGTATTTCCTTGAACTTACCCACAGTGATGCCAATGATGACACCGAGGCACATCTCACACAAGCGTCACATGGCGCGTTGTGTGCATTGTGGCTTGGTGCCATCATTGGCATCACTGCTTACCCATGGGATATTTTATGTGATCATAATAGTCTGGGACCTCGTCCTTATCAACAGGTTCCAAGAATGGCCAAGCAGCACTATGATTCTTCACAGTATTTAGAACATTGTTCAAAGCGTTATACAGAGAATCCGACATGTCTACACACGTTTCCATCGGTTCAGAACTTTGCGTTCCCTTTGTCACACCTCTCGTCCTGGTTTGCGTGTAATTTTTCCAGCCGGTCTCACGAATACCCGGGATTGATTCCACGGGAATGCACCTAACACCCTCTTTGAAGCACGTTAGACCAGGATGGACCTTTTGTATCTCTTGCTGCCGTTGGTAAATCAGTTTTTTCACAATTTCTTTCTGCTTTCTCAGAACCGCTGTAAATTCGGTATATACTATTTTGGCGTTCAGTTCGCAGTGCATCAACGTCGCACCCTCGTAATCCTTAATGTATCCCTGATACATGGATTTCAGTAGCTTTATGTCTTTGCTGAAGCCTTGCTTCTTGAAATAACCGATGGCGAATTCGTCCGCGAACGTTAAAAAATGCAGTATGTTGTTCTTGATGTGATAATCCTTCAGCATATTCATCAAATGAGTCCCGTAGCCTTTTACCTGCTCTTGACTCGTGACCGCGCAAAAGACTATCTCGGTAAATCCCTGACTCGGAAACATGCGAAAACAGATGCCGCCAATTGGTCGACCACCTTTTATCAGGGCTAACGTCTTATGCTTCCTGCATGATAAAGAGAATATTACTAATAACGATTTACAAAACAATAAACGGAAGAAAATATCTTACTCACGGATCGAATACGAATTGAGATATATAATCTTTGGGCATTCTAACTAACTGATGGCTGAAAACATTATGTAATCCTATCAGCCAAAGCATAGTTTGCTTAGACACAGGCTGTGTAAGACTGTTCCCAACGACGTGAAATTCTATGATTTTCCTGCTTTCTTCAATTTTAGCCGTTTCGTCGCGTGGGACATCCGGCGGAAACACTGCATCTGGACCGCACATATAATTAGGATCATTGATTGTGGAAACAATCTCGGCGACAGTCTCTTCGGGTAGATCCTCAAAAGCCTCTTCTATTTTCCGTCACTTCACATCACAACGTCCTGATTCAACCTGGAAACGCTTTTCATGAAGCTTCCTCGCCGCAGGACTGATATTTATCGTTGCATAATTATCCTTTTCATTCAATGTAACGGTGATCTTCTCGAATTCTCCCATCTTTTTCGCTTGGTGTCCCTTTAATTCCAAAGCGGCTTGTAAATGAGAAGGCGGCTGCTGCTTAAATTCGAGATCCCAGATAGGTGAATTATCAGAATAGATTTCTACCTCCAACATCGAGAGAAACCTGGAACACAAACGATTATATATTTGCTGATACTTATGAGACATCATTCTAAGTAAGATAGAAAGATCGTGACATACTTGGGAAAATGTGTTAAGACTAAAACTCTCTTCTCCGGCGTTATTTTGTCTCTTTCACTGTGACATTTGTCAATTAATTGGCTACAAACTGGCTTAAAAACAGCTTGCAGTAGAGTCTTGCCAAAGACTACAGGAGTATCATAATGCTGCAAAGAGTCACAAAATGCAGGTACGTGACAGAAGACAAGCCAACGGGTATAGTTAATTTTATAAGCAGGCGCTTCTTCAGCACTAATCGTCGTCTTTCTGGCACTCGGCGCTTCGAAATTCCAGTGATTCAGACAATGCAAAAACATCTTTGCCATGTCACACATAGCTTGCCATTCTCGCGGAGAGAGGTGACTGAATTTATACAAAACAAAATTCATTACTGCTTTTGCTATGCTAGGTCTCTCAAATGGCGGCTGTCCCAAAGGACCTTCTATAGTCGGTTTTGTCATCGACAATATGCACTTTCTCAGTAAAGTATACAAGTAATAATATATTTTCTTTGTATCGGGATCTTCTTCCCTATGTATGCCCATAAAAATGTTATCAGCATCAATAGCCATACCCAACAATTTATTGAGTTCTTCCTCTGATTGGGTCGGCAAGTGAGTAATGTGATTCTCTAAAGCATGAGTACAAGTTTTACAAGGATCCAGAAAATGTGTAACAGGTTGTTGAACTTCACCCTTTTGTGATTTTACGATAGGTTGCGCATTTTTCCAACCGGTACATTTGCACTCAGCTGCTTGGCAAGCACTGTAGGTCGCAAGTTTCAACAATTTTTTTATTTGTGGCCAATTAAACATTTGCTGCTTGCGTTGTTGTATTCGTTGCAAATTACTTTGTCGACTTCCCTGTTCATGTGGCTTTGTTGGATTCGTGTCTCTGCTGTTACCTGCATTTTGGGATGTACTAGTAACAGATTGGCCAGTTTCCTCAGGAACAATTATCATTGTATTACGATTTACTTCCTCGGATGCCATGGTTCTGAAGAAAAATTGATATATTTTGTCACAATTGAAAATGAGATCGACACACTTGTCAAAGATATCAAGCTATCAAAGGTGATTTATAAAGGATACATCAAATACTTGTCAATTTTGTACTATGTGATTATACACTGATAAAAGAATTAAATAAACCATCGTAAACTTACCTTAAAATTTGTTAAATTAGATTAAAATGTAGATCAGGCAGTGATTAAAATTGTAACGTAAGGAGTCAAATATCTGACTACACTTTTCTATTTCCAATAACGCTTGTTTCGGTCGCTTTCTACTGACTAATTATTATTGTTCCGATGACATCAAACGGGACACTCAATCCTTTCTGCTCGCCACTGTACGTGGTACACAACTCGTATCGCACATTCTTCAAATTCACGTCGTTGTTTGTTTAAATTGCGGCGGGACGACGAGTGGCCAAGTTATCGTACGTGCCTCTCCTATGTGAAAATTCCTATAGGTTAGAAATGAATTGCTCGGAGATCAATGATCGCGCACACCCATCGTTGGCTTTTAGTATATTGCAATTCAAACTTCGTCGATTGTCACGGTACTATTTTTTCGCGCAGAAATGCAATCTCGAAAGATGAGAATTCTGGGACTTTCACTTGTTTGACTATTTCGTCCGTTTTGTAAATCTTCCGGTTACCTCCACCTGGCTCCACATTATTATACAATCGCTAACGATCGCAATGGCCACCTGGGACAGTTCGTACTCGGATAAGACTGACCCCACTTATAATATTTTGTGAATTTTACAGAGATTACAGAAATTGCAATATAGTAATCATTTATATTTTCAAAATTTTATAATAAACTTTACACTCTCTGTCGGAGAGCTATAAAAAAAAATCACATAATTGTCAAAGTAATATGTCAAAAACAGCAATAAGAGTAAATAAATTTTTTATTGTTTCAATAATGCAAGTGTCACTGCGACTACTGAATCACAATCAGTAGTTTCATTGCGTTTACATTTGCAGATTATTTCATTAATGATATTTCACAAACCAGCATACATCACAATGAATGATTGTTTCGAAAAATTCATCACCTATCACAACCACCCTTACACAATCGTCGTATTATATTCCCAAATTGTTTAACTAATGCTGGTAATTAAACCGTGAATTTAAATATCCAATCAGGTGTAAAATTTTAACGTAAAACCATTCCTAATATTTTCAACATGGTGCTGGTAGTAAAACTATCACGTATAAATAATTGCCATGTCAAACGAGTCACGTTATATAAAATATCCGATTGAAATTAGACAAACGACATCCACCGACTGGCACCACTTCACATAGTTTTGTACGCTTACATACATATGCATTTATACGTACACGCACACATCTCCGATTAACGAGAAGTGTACGCCGGAATTCGAATAAAGCAATTGGAAAAAATCAGATTTGTATGATTGTCAAACATAGTTACTGAAGTTACGAAAGCACGCCGAAGGGTGATGTTTCCGAATGCACTCTGGGCGTTTCGAAACAGCTGGTGTCAAATGTGTGATAGTGTGCACACTGTGTGTGTTTCCGAATGCAACTTACATGCAGACGTTGAGCAGTGGGGGTCGAGGTACGCGTAGAAAAGGATACGATCTGTTTGCGTCCTCGAGTTCTCTCTCTCTCTCTCTCTCTCTCTTTCGTTCGCGCATGCGTACTAAACGTGCGTCTGCGGCGGAAGGAGGGGGGAGGGGAGAGTTTTTAAAGAGGAACATGAAAGGAACCCCAAACGTATATCTAAAAGATGTCACACAGACGTGCTCTAGACGTCTTAATTGTTTAAAAGACGTCTTTACGACGTCTTTATGACGTCTTATGATGTCTTAATGTTATATGGGACACGGCTCGCAGTTACGCACGTTACAGCTTCATGAATTTGATACCAAACGTGCGACGCGCAACTTAAAAGAATACTGATGTGGTCCTCACTGTAAAAACCACGTCTTTGTTTCTCACGCGCGGTATTTACAAAAGTAGACAATAATCACGTACATTAATTACTCCAATTTACTTCAATATTCGCACAAAATACTTTAAACTGATTCGATGGACGTTCTCTCGTAAAAATGTGGTGCTGATTCCAACAGCATTTCCGGCTGAATGACCGTCAGGTCCTTCATGTAGATCTTGTTAGTTTGCAAGATCTCGCAAAATAGAAGCCTGGAATAGAAAGAAAGCGAATGAAATAAGTGAGAGCTCCGACGATGAAAGAGACGAAAAACAGCTCTTGTACTCTTACCATTGTGGCTGCTGCAAGGTATACAGGCAGCTGTTCGGATGAATGAACAAGTCCTTGTTACCTCGTACCGTTCTGTACACACCTGTATAATGTAAATACGCCGCTTTAGGGAAGAGACCGGCCGTCAAACACTTGAGAATTTGCTGGACGTCCCCTGAAAGAGATCAGTGACAATCACATATTACATCTCCCTTCTAGAAAGCAACAGAGATAATTCCGCTTCCAACTGTAAGTATAAACGTCCTACCGTCGCAGGATGCCAGCGGTATATCCAAGCGTTTCAGCATTTTGTGCATCTGCGTGCGAATCTCCGTCACTCTGCACAGAGCTTTGTAATTGAGAAAATGCTTCTGACACCAGGCGGCTGTTTTGTTCCGCCCGAATGCTGTATAGACGTTCAGCAAGGTGAGAAGATCGCCTTCCTCCACCTCGAACTTGCGATGCGCTATTCTCGCTTTCAAGGCGGCTTGCCCTCCGCTCGGTTGCACGAAGACGTTCTGAACTTGCAGCATAGCGAATATCGTCGCGATTTCCTCCGAACATCCCATCTCACCTATTACCGGCCGACAAAATATTCTCTATAATCGCCGGAATTGAGAATTTGTCATGATTTTGCAAATATAAAGAAACTCTCTCTCTCTCTCTCTCTCTTTATCTCTTCTTAATTTTCTCCCGAGTTTTCTTTTAGTTTTCCTTCGTGTCGCATTCTTGCGACTTTATTCGCCACTTTTACGCGCTGCTCCAGAGAGATTGACTGTTGAAATTATTCATACCAGAGACAATGAAGGATTTCGCCAGCACCGGCTCCAGAGGCATCTCCGCCATCGTGAGGCCCAGCGGCGTCGTCAGATCACCGTTGCCGTCGATCGCACCGAGCGCGTACAACAATTCCAAAGCCATGACTAGATTCTTGCTGGGCGGTGCGGACGGAAAATTGAATCGCAACACGTTATCGATGCCCAGCGCTTTCAGTTGCAGTACCGCCGGCGCCAAGTCGGAGCGCTGCATTTCCGGCGGCGTCGCCTCGAAGAATCCAACGTGAGCCTCCTCTGTGTACAATCTGCAACAATTATTTCGTCAGCTTAATCGCACTTAACGGCGCAACTTTCTTGCAAATTATATCACGTATTAAGTTATTATATATATATATATATAAAATAGATATTCGTACAATTTAAGTTATTATATATATTTAAGTTATTATATATATATATATAAAATAGATATTCGTACAATTTATTCTTTATGTAAGAGAAATCGTAATAAGTTATCTCGCATATAAAGATGGATTGTATCGTGCAATGATTAAAGACACGAGTGTCCACAAATTCGGGTCGTTGGTATTAACAAGTAAGTAAAGATTGGCCCAGAAACATCTGTTCCCGAGTGCTCGTGAGTCATCTCTAAAAGTATAAATAAACAGAACGGAGCGAATCGTTTCTGAAGCTCGTGCCGTGAATTTACGGACACTCTGTGAGCGTTATTACGTAAATAGTGCACGTGACCGGGCGCTTGTCCAGGCGGCCTCTCTCACCTGTACGCTTTTCCTGTGCGGACGCGGCCGGCGCGGCCAGCTCGCTGGTCGGCGGAAGCTTTTGATACCGGAACGATAACGAGGCTGTTCGTCTGCGTTTCCGCCTCGAACCAAGGTATTTTGACGAAACCGCAGTCGATTACTGCACACACACACACACACACACACATATCAACGAGTTAATGGCGTCGTCGCCGGTCTATCGAGAGGCGAAGAAACAACCGGCGCGACTAACGTACCGTAAACTATATTCGGAATGGTGATGGACGTTTCCGCGATGTTGGTCGCCACGATGACTTTCCGAGTGTCTTTGGCCGCCCTCCAGAACACCTTCAACTGCTCCGTGTTCGGAAGCGAGCCGTACATCGGCAACGGCAGCAGTTTCTCTGAAAATCCCCCGAAATTATCCGCTCTGAATTACAGAGTCTTCGGTCGTTTTCGATCTTCAGGGTTTTCGCGCGCGTCGCTGAACGCCGAGCTCACCGACGTTTTCGGATTATATATCACGTTTCATCATGCCCGCGACTTTTGGCAAATGAGGACTGCGGCGAAGAACCGTGTGAAAAATTCATCGGCAATTATAACTTAGTGGGAAATGAATTTCAGGTGTTACCGAGGAGACGATAAGTTCGCGTCGCAGCGCGACGTGTTGAATAATGTATATCGGGGTAAATCCGTTCCCAGGGCGAGCGGGTTCAGCGACGCGAGAGTTCACGGAGCACCCGGGTAATTGGCAATCTCCTCCTACTCTCCGAGAGAGGAGGCTTCGACATTTCGGAAGTGTACGAGAACTCCGGAAAAATAGTTCGATCGTCCACTCACGCTGGCCGTCTTTGATGAGCTTCGCGTGTTCCGACAAAAGGGAGACAGCCTGATCGACCTCGTCGAGTCCTGTGAGAAACGCCAGGATATCGCCCGGCATCTCCGTCTCGTGTATTTTCAGAGCGATGTCCACCACACCGTTGACGTAATTCGCCACCGGTTCTGCAATTCGATCGCGGTTAGACGGTGAGAAGCGTAACGGGCGCGGTGTTAATCGCGCGAATGAGCGTCGCACCTTTCAGGAAGAATATCTCCACCGGATACAAGCGTCCCTCGACGCTCATGATGACGGCGCTGTCCTTGCCCGGATCCTTGGTCGCGTTCACATTGAAGAAATCGCGAAGCTCCTCCGCGTCAACGGTCGCCGACGAAACGATAACCCGCAGGCTCTTCCGTTTCTGCGAATGTGAGCGAGCGAGTTAATGTGCCCCACTCTCAGCTAATCTACGGTAATCCATACCAGCGAACAGATATTAATGGACCCTCACCCTGATGATTTTCTTCAGCAGTCCCATTATGATGTCAGTCAATAGCGTTCTCTCGTGCACCTCGTCCAGGATAATGACCGAGTAGCTTGTTAATAACGGGTCGCTCATTAATTCCCGCAGAAGAATGCCTTCCGTCATGTACTACAAAAAGGGATACACATCAGTGTGTGTGTGTGTGTGTGTGTGTGTGTGTGTGTGTGTGTATGTGTTCGTAATAAAAACTATAATTATAATTATATAATAATATATGTAACAAAATATACGTGGCGAAATATGATGAAAAGTAATATAGATAAATATAATAATATGACGAAAATTACAACGCACGTAACGAGCAGAAATAGTAAATATTAATGAGCGATATTGAGCGAGATTTAACTCGTAAAATAAAAATGATGAATATAGAACGTAAATGTGTCGACTATATGTGTGATCCGCAACGGAGGAACTCCGAGTCGCATTGTTTATCTCGCGCTCGCGCCATATCGCACCTTAATTTTGGTCGTTTCATCGGTATAATCGTCGAAACGTATGCAGTAACCCACGGTGGTCCCCAGAATGCAATTGCGCTCATCGGCCACGCGATTCGCCAGGGAAGTGGCGGCGACCCTTCTGGGCTCCGTGATACCGATTTTTTTCCCGTTCGCACACCATCCTGCTTCAAGAAGATACTGAAGAGCAATAAAGCCGGTTTACCACGACGTTAATTCGTCCGTATTCATTACGTGCATTACATCGAAACAGAAATCAACACGAATCCGTTGCCCAAATTTGGCTATCACGCCGCAATTTTGAGAAAAATAGGATCAAAGTGGCCAAAAACGACGATTATATAATGTTACAAAAATCTTGAATAAAATATCTTTTTCTCCGCATGTTATGTGGGAAAAGAGCTATTTTCAAATTTACTATATCTCGAAAACAAAAAATCATACGGAGACAAAACAAAATGCACTTTAAAGCTAAAAGTCGGTATTTTCGCGTGGCATTGACGAAATAAAAAAAAAACATTCGCTGCCGATGTTACGTAATAAAAACCCTCGAAATTGTTTTTAGATTTTGACGCAATTTTTCTCAAAATTGTGACGTGGTAGCCAAATTTGGACAATGGATTCGTGTTCAGCAGGCAAAAATACATCGGAAGTGACTATTCACACTCGTGTTGCAAAGAAAAAAAGAGTCAAGTTTTGTTGGACAGTGTTATTGGACGGAAGAGACACGGGTGAATGTACATATTTCAGAGACAACTGGTTTATATATAAATACATTTTATTAAAGAGATTCTCGTTATAAAAATAATATAAAAGCTGGCCGCAGTGTTCTCTCAAATTCAACGGGAAACCTTACATCGAACGCAACTATCGAGACATTGATTCCGCGTCACTGTCGGAGCTCATTACGAAGCTTTCGTCTCGCACACGTAACAGGTTTTTGCGCACGTCTGTTGTAATATTCGTAGGCGCTGCAGTTGGGTAACGCTCTTGGCACTGGATTAGATAAAAAAAAAGGCCTAACTACAGTCAATAACTGACCCACTTCGTGGCGTGGGCAGTACGTAGTATGATGCATATTACTCTACACGTCAGCGATAAAGAAAAGATTTGAGCATTGTGCAGTCTCTTGGCGAACTTTGAACTTATTGGCTTCGGATAGCCAATTCACATTATGCCAGGAAAGCAAAACATTGCACCTAGTATTTGTAATATCATTTTACGACGGATTAAGAACATATAATGTTACAACATATGTTATAATATGTATTGTATGTATAATTATATATATATAAACAACATATAAAAAATATATATTGTAACTATATATAATATATATAAAATACGTGAAAATGATGTCATAAATATATCATTTATAAATTATAACATTAACAACTATAAAATCAAGAACACAAAATACCTAACAGATAAAACGTTAGTTTTGTACTTGCTCATTAACACATTAAGCGGCTCGGAAGAAAACATAGAAAGTCATAGCAGTCATTTTCCAAAATTCTGTCATTTCCTGCCCGTAGTTTTCCTCGATTTAATAATACTGATTTGTTATTTTTCGTAAAAATATGCATTATCTATTAATAATTGCGACGTCTATCATCATTAGAGCTGCTAAACATGTTAATTCAAATAGCAAGTTAACTAACAAATTTGTTTTCAATTAAGAAAAGTTTAATATCATGCTTTCAAGAATATGCGTACACCTTGTTTCGATATTATCGCAAAAAAAAATTTACAATTTTAATGTCACCGACATACTCGAGTTAAAAAAAAAGTCACAATCATCACAACAGTCATCACAACATTAGTTTCACGGAAATATAATAATCGCAGAACTTACTTCCAAACTGTCTCGAATCTCAATATTATTTGAAGAACGTCGATCGTGTGCGAATCGATGAAAAATACGAAAAAAGTACTTGCTGAAAGCACGAAAAAGTTGAGGAAATCTCGAGAAGGGAGGTTTGGAAGGCAGTTTGGCGATGAGCTACCGAATCGAGGTACATTTAACAGTGGAAAACCGGACTGGCCATCACTGGGCGGCAAGCGTGTTCACGAGGAACGTATAAACATTGGTGACCGGCGGTATGCTTTGCACGTAAGTGTAGACATGTAAGTAGTGAAGTTCGCTAATAAACATAAGTAGCAGCAGGATAACGTAAGCTGGCCACCGCACGAGCCTGATGTATTCCCAGATGCGGTCGAGGAATATCGCCAGTTGCATGTAATCCATGACCGCGTGGAAGTTGAGCATCTTCCAGCCGAGAGCGACCGCCCAAAAGAGGGGGCTTCTAAGGACGGCGGTCTGCTTGGCGTAGAACTGCTCCTTGGTGACCAGGGGAGGTCTGTCGTCGGTCTCGAGGAGGTCCTGGTACACGGATATGTAGCGGTTCCACGCAGCGCTCGTCAGCAGGAAGTGCACGCCCACCAGCAGCACATGGTACAAGGGTGAATTCCAGAAGGAGATCTTGCTCGAGAGGCCGCCGTTGTCGCGCTGGCTCGACGCGATGAGCTTGCGGCTCGCGGACAGCCGCTCGTAGCCGGCGCGACGATTGGTGTTGCGCTTCAGGAGGAAGAACACCGCGACGACGAGCGCGATGCAGCCGAGTCCGTCGGCGACCCCATCCACCAGGTAGCCGATGGAGCCGACGTCCGATCGCTCACCCTCGATGTTACGCCTCTGCCTGGCGACGTGGCCGTCCAGGTTGTCCAACCAGGCTCTCACTTGGAACAGAAGCAGCCCCAGCCGACGGTAAGCGAGGGAACTTCGCGTGACGAAGCGGGCGCCGATTACGGCGACCAGCACGTGGAAAGCGCTGATGGCGTTCGGCGACAGCCACGTCCAACAGTGGCTGATGCCCAGCAGGTGGTCCACCAAGGACGCCAGGGGGCTGAGGATGAAGTGGTTCGGGTGGTCCAACATTAACGCCTTCACCGTTACCATGCAAATCGGATCCAACTCGCACAAGATCGGCGAGTGGTACGCCGCGCCGGTTTGCCGCGTGTCGTTGTTCGTGCGCGGCCGTACGTCGTAATTCTGCGTCCTGAGGTAGAGCAGCAGGTCCATCCCGAGGAAGTACAGCAGCGACAGCAGTAGCAGAGCCAGGCAGGCCCGGTTGGTGAACGCCGGTGAGCACAACATCCTGCGGGATATTCTCTCGTAGTGAGAATAAGTGGTGACGTTATCACGCCGTTTGTTTATCCTTCCGTCGTTTCAAGCGAACGTCTCGCTGGTTTGCCAATAATTCGACCAATCGTTGTCGCTTATTCACCGGCGGCTGACTATTGTTGTTGCGTATTTATCTAATTTCGAGGCCGACCGTCGCGATATCTCCTTTCGCCACGACGCATCGTGTGTATCGTTTATTACTGGTTTTTATCGTCGCGACTATCACCGGTATTTTACCGCTAATATTATCGTTAATTTGGTTGCTATTATTGCTATCGGCGAGCATGGCGTGACTATTTTCATCACCCACGGCGTTATCGGGCTGTGTCACGAGGATTTCGCCGAAAATCGTGACGACGATTCGCGCGGCGCCACGTTGGACCGGCCGCTGTGCTGTTGCTCTTCGTCCCTTCTTCCCCTCTTCTCCAGATACATCCGAGTCCACTGATCTCGCCCGTCGTGACGGTCGTTCGTATGTCTTTGCCTCGACACAACGCCGATTTTATCGCAGCGGGCACCGATCGCTACGGCGGGTGTCGACGTTACGAAACGTATGCATAACGCTTCCACGGCGGATCAGTTCCTTCGGCATATCGCGATGCGACCGTGCATATCCGGTGCACTGATAGGCAAATGGGCACTGACAGCGACGACGCCGCGGACGACCGCAATTACTGGGACGTTAGACTTGAACCCGCCGCGCACCTTCGCCGCACGACACGTACGCGGAGATCCGACTTCTCGGGGGGCGTCGTTTATCGTGCTATTATCCCACGGTACTCTGAAATATTTTCCAGATGTTTGCAACACGTCTCAGGCCGCGGTTTCGGCCGTACACACCGGCTGTTATCAGCGTACCGCTTTTTAGTATCCTCACTGATCAGTTTAGCGCCGCGTCAGTCGAATACTTTCGTTCAATCGTAGTTCGGATTAGCGATTAAAGCCGACGGCCCGTTTCGCCAATCGATCAGTTTTTTTCGTGCCTTCTTGAGAGGTCGTACAATCGCCGGAGAGATCTATCAACGTATACTAACGCGCCCGCACTGAGCTCGCGCACAAGCGCGGTTTTCCTCGTGCCTCTACCGATCACGGGCTTCGCTTTATTCCGCAATGGGTCAGTATCGGAGATCGATCTGCATGTCTCTAATCCGGACGAGGAGGCCTCCCGGCCGACGGAGGTGCGATTAGTCGCGTCGAAATGCAACGCTCTCGGCCGAGGAGGTTTATTGTACTGCACGGATAATGGATAACAAAGTAAGCGCGATAACACGTGACGGGAGAAGCGTTTCCTTCGCGCTCTCTTAACTTTCCGCGGGCCGTTCGACAGGGAACGGTCCGCGGTAGGGAAGAAAAAAGAAACGCGAGAAGGTAATGACGTCTGGTCGCGTCTCAGTTCCGCGCGCGCGGCTCCACGCGCCGTCGAATTAACCGCGCGGCATTGAACTTCATTTGCTGAGTTTTAATCGCTTCTCGCGGTCGAAGTCTCGGATTCGGCGCGAATGAGGAATTACGGACTTTGTACAGTCACGTTCGTTCGCGCCGAGAGAGCGGGGAAGGGGGGGATTTACTTGGGCGGCGCGTGAACAATCGAAGAAAACAGGAACCGTTATTCGGAAGTCAAACGCGATAGGTGTTATTGCGGATACACGTTACATATGTATATGCATCTTGTAAAAGATAGACCGTCTTGGCGTTCGATAATCGTCAATAATATGCTCGCGACGGAAAGATGAATTTTCTGATCTGCCTTACTTTCGTGACACCGAGAGACTGACGTAATATATGGGCGTGCAGAGTAGTATATGTTGTTATATGTGCGATATCGACGTTTAGCAAAGAAAATACGTCAAGAGAGGATCTCACGAAGCCACTTGCAACTTTTTGCCAAATCACACATAGCTATATCGTATTTTGAATTTGCAATCTCATTGGGAGCATTGTCACTTTTGGATATATCGATAACACCTTGGTAGTTCTTACCTTCTTTAATGCTAATTCTGTGAAGCTGTTTTCAAGTTGTTGTTCTAAGAGAGGTTGCTTTTTTGTAAAGCCACCTTCATAATTTTTCACATTTATAGGTTTGTGCGATAGTATAGTTGAAATATTTCTAATATTATTACAGTAGGAATATTGCAAGCTCTTTTAAGCTTAACGAATGCATATATAAAGTATACATATCCAGGTCTTACCTGAGGCACTTGTGTGCTTTTGCCACAGCCTGTTTCGCCCACCAAAACTAGGGTCTGGTATTTTTCTAATAGATAAATTATGTGGTCTTTGTTTCTAAATATAGGAAGTCGTTGTCGTTGCATATCAAGTGCAAGTGAGTGATGCGCATTGTAAACAAACTGCGTAGACGAGTGGGCATCAATGTCTGGCTTATCTTCTTGCCACATGTTGTCTCCTGATCAAAAAAATTGTTTAATTAATATCTGCCATTGTTTATCAGGTTGCAAATCACGTCTAATGTGTCTTTTTTCATTACATTTTTTTTTCCATTGCATCACATAGGTTAGATTCGAATGTCTGTGAATTCTTACATCACACGTCATCATTCGACAATAAAAATAATCACTATTCAACGACACGTTTCGTCAACTTTAATGTACTACGTTGTAATAGAAGAACTTAATTACAGTTGTAATACAAATATAATAAAATTGCGCATTGCGACCAATTAACATAACCTTACCTGATCTGGAGAAAACCGGTCGAAACATTTCTGGAAATTTGTAAAATAACGTCAACACAAGGTGAACTCTGGTGTATCACTTAAATGGGAAAAAAATAAATATTGTACGAATAATATTCAAATAAATCCATATCAAAAAGTAGTGCACGAGCGTGGTATATCAAAATTATGACTAATTTCACTTGTACGATAGATGGCTCCTACTGTTGTCTTTTAAAAAGCAGTCGCCCGCGAATTTCTAAAATCATAATCGTAATGTCGATACCTGTTACTTGTCAACATTTCTCTTCAATTACACTCTTAAAACTTATCTCGTAGTTGTATCGGCATGCGTATTTCAGAATGTATACTATAAATGAGTACCGATAGAGTACTAACACAAAAATTTGACAACATAGTTTCCGTCTGTCTTTTATTTTAACTTTGTACTTTAACATGCATTTAATTATTTTGTACAAAAAAACAGTTTATGCCTAACCGTTTCTCCTGTTGTTGTTAATAAGTTAAACAAAACTTGAACGTTGTCACACGAGTTTTTATTTGTAAACGGAGCTCTCTTAAAACGCGGTATTTTCTTTATACGCAGTTATGTATTGTATGCCGTTCGTCTGTTACCGACCATGAACTTTATTTATTTTCTTGATTTGTTACCAGGACTTTTGTACTGGAAACTGTAAATTTTGACTACTCAAAATCGGTCGATTGGGTATGATTTTAATGATCGTAATCTCGTTTTTATTCCTCGATGCTTCTCATCATTTCTTACTGCACATTAGATATCCGAATAAATGCGTTATTGTATTCGACACATAAATGGTATCTTTCTTACCGCAGCCACATTTCACAATTTGGATTGTTTTGAAGTGTGAGACACCGTCACAGAAGATTGTCCATCCTCGATGACCAGGGCTGCTATTTCATACACACCTACCGACGTCTGTCGGTTTACTAAGTATTGCGCAGGTATAATCATATTATAAAATAGCCGTGTTATGACACGTACGACGAGTCAATTGTCAATAAACGTGTACAGAATGCAACCTGAGATGTTGAGTCATCGGTTAGTTCATCTCTGCGTATTGCGTTGTTTGTATTTTTGCTTTGGCGAGCATTTTTGCTTTTGGACCGAAACATTTGCCTAATACAATTCTATTAAACAGACGGTTGTTTATTATTTTGGCGCATTTTTAACTAGCGCTTGCTCTTATAGGTCTTCCTATATCGTCTTAATTAATTTTTAATCTAACGAGTAACCTTTATCAAGTGATACACGTCGATTTTGTACGTAAACGGAAATTTACGTAAAACAGAAATGATATAATTCCATTAAAAACATTGATTGACCTTGACAGTCTTCGTGGTCTTGACAAGACCTTGATAGGAGATCTCACTATCAAATAGAGGTCACCACCTGACATACACTTTGAAACCAAGTAACTTCCATCCGATAAACTTTTTTCTAAAATTCATTGTTTGTGAAATATTTTATAGTACCGTTAAAAATAAAACACCTTGTATAAACGTCGTAATTAATATTGATTTTTTGCATAAATAATCTTTTCATGTCATGATCTTTTATCAAACCTCAAAAGAAGACAAAATCGATGTGTATCATTAGATGAAGGTTACTTATAAGAACGTTGAAAAAAACCATCCATAAGAATCTATGTAGAAAATGCATATAGAATCCCACGGTTATTTCTGGGAATATATGTAAAAAACCTAAGTCTTAGATAGAAATCCATGTGGATTCCTATGTGGATTCCTATGTGAATTTTCACAAACCATATGGATTCCTATATGGATTTTTATTACCCTATATATGGATTCACATGAGCTCTATTGGATTTTTTTGGGAGTCCTGGAAATTTTCAACAGGGTTCACTTTCATATTGTTTCTCATATGAGGGATAATATTTCGCAACGCCAATATATATATAGAGAACCATCTTTATTTGTATTTGCTGTTGAACACATTTTACCATTTTAAATCTTAAACATACATGTTATTACCCTCACTGATCGATAGTTATATTCATTACATGTAAAGCAAAAAATAATGATATTGAAAATTATACGAACTACTATTGAGATACTTTCGCGATAAATAAAATATTCGAGCTCTTGCAGTTCATGCGTTAGAAACGCAACTAAAAAGAAGGCAAACTGATGATACATCTGACAATCATTAGTTTCATATGTAACATCCAAAAATTAGTAGTTAAATCTGTATTAATCACGTCACACGAATTAATTTCCAGAACGTAATCACTTTGGGAATATGTAAAATCAATCATGTCAACTGTTGCTTCCTTTATCGGACGATCGTCATTTCCTTACTTTTATGCAATGTTAGCAAAAATTCAAATCAAACTTTCTTTACTCGTCAGCGTTTCTATACATATATAGGTACAATGTGTGAATATACCGAGGTAAGACAAGTTACACGTATTATATAAACTGCGCCTCGCACGATAAAAAATAAAAAGAATTTGGAAATAGGTACTTCGATTTCTAAAAGTCACGACAGCGAGCCTGATAGTATAATATATCCATTTCTAAATTAACAAACTTCTTGGAAACGTGTTTTTAATACCCCTTAAAGACAAGTTATTTTTGCAAAAACACATCACATGTGTTAGTAGAGATTTTAACGCGCATATAATTTACCTAAAGTCTAAATAAACATTTTCATATTTTTTTTCTTTCTATTGCAGAAGTTACATCCTTCATAAATAATACGTCATCAGAACAAGCATGTTTTCGAGTTAACGATAGAAATGGCGCTTTCTTCAATTTCTCAACGACGTCGGCGAATGGTCGCACATTACAAATCGCGATCTATATTTTCGGGAATGTACTTTGATTCACAGAAAAATATTCATATTCTATCTCCGATGTATATAGAGTCCAAAGTGTGTATGTGTCTACATAAGCTACACGTGTATCTGTGCAAGTCGGAAACAATGAGGACTAGTGGTAGGTGGAAATATTTGTTGCACAACTGTACCCATTTTCCAGACACCGCACCATCGTCTGTCCTGATGATGGAGAATAATTATAGAAATATATTATTTCTAACGTTATCGGGTATACCTCCTTATACTTTAGGGTTCTAACGCTAAATGAATATATAATATATATACGCGTGGATGCCAGCACAGAGAACACGGCTTTGTTTGTTTACGCTTTACACATCACGGTCAAATACGTAATCGCAATTTTAAGTGTCGGACACGTGCTATTATTACGCTGTTATCCAATTGTTGAACTCTTACAAAAAATACTGCAAGAGGAGAGACACACACAGTCATCCTGAACACAGAAAATCCTTAATGCAATAAACGTCAAGTGTTCCTTTTATTCTATCTTTTTTCTGTTTTTCGAATGCTTGTCACCCTTCCTGAAAATGCACAGACGATCGGACCTGCTCTGGCTTCACACTCGGTTAAAATTGCGTCTATGGATTAGGTCTGTCAGTAATAAACGTGAGAGAATATTAGGCCGTGGCCTCCTCCGCGTCCCCGTTGTTCTCGGTTTCGGCGCACTTCTCCTCGAGTCTCGACTTCTTCTCGGGGCTCGCGCCGTCCGTTGCTTCCTCTGTTGCGTCAGCCGCAGCCGTAGATTTCCTCTTTACGCAACAGCTGTCGACGGGGGCATCTAGAGAATCGCAAACGAGAATACTTTTAATACCGGTTATTGTATCACTTTTACCTCCCAAAATCAAGAAGAGAAAGACGAACGACGGTAAGCCGTCGTTTGTCTAACGACCGGCACTTGCCTGTGGAGTCTCCATTTTCTGTAGATTCTGCTTCCTTCTCATCGCTTTCCTTTTCCTCGCTGGAGCCATTCTCTTTGGTTTCTTTTGTATCTCCATTTTCAGATGTTTTCGAGTCCTCATCGACTTCCTGTACCACCTTCTCCTCTTCTACTACCTTCTTCTGTGGCGTGGTGACTTTGGTTTCCCTAGAAATGACATGTGATGTTTTATGCATCTTCTCAAGCAGTATTTTTAGCAAGATTTTAGTAAGACATATATTATGTATACAACAATTATATTTTCCGACCAGTTAAATACTCACTACAAGAGTAAAGAGAATTATAGAGCAAATTTTATTTATAACTTTTCTGAGATAAGTTAGACATTGGCTACAAAAATGCATATTGTACGATAGTATTAATTTTATTTTTGATTGAGAAAATCGTCTCAACTTACGATACCGCACGATTGTACGCGTCATATCGTATTTTTATACAAGAGATACAAATAAATCGCAACAAAAGTCGCAAATTCTCGTGACGTAAATCAGATGTCGCATATGTCTCAACATCATGTCGCAGGGAAATGATGAAAATGGAGATTTGATCAAATCCCTAAAGTTAGATTATCAATTCACGGAAAATGTTAAAATAACAACTCTGTGGGGTGATTTCCCTAAAGAAAGTAAATGATTTGATCAAATCCCTTAGCTGTTTTAGCGAAAAGATAAAATAATATTGTTTAGATGTTGAAAGTATTTATTTAATAAACCATGCATTATTAAATGTAGAGTACTGACTGTAAGTCAACTAAATCGACTTGGCCACGATGATTGAAGTCGCTAGATATAATTGGGCAAACGATTCGTTTTCTTGAAAATTTTTTTCTAGACTGACATACCGGGCACAGCTTTAAAAACTCCAGTACAACTGAAGTAGGTATTAAGTATTTCGATTTCAAACTATACAGCATTTTATCTCTTCCTCCGTGGCCAGTTGACTGATGGATTTCCCAAAGTATGTGGTAAAAATTTTCCGTTGGCACTATTTTCACAACTGGATCGGAGTCAGACTTTCTCTTCAAAATCAAAGATTTTTTCGTACCTACTTCCATAATATCGTATTTTTTTCCATAATAGTACTGTTTATGTGTCCGCTGCAGTTTAAATAGTGGTGCTATTGTAAATTGTTCAATGACTGTGATAGCTTCTTCTATCCTTTCGCGAGTCCACAAAGGTTTTTCTTTATCATGCCGCTTGTTCAAAAACGTCCTGATAGTTTCATTAAACTGTTCTTCAGATACAAATTCGCTCAGAGTTTGATTTTTTTCTATATCTGAACCCATTTTTCTACGGTAGGTACTTGACAAAACTCGAAATATAGAAAACAATAATAAAAATGCGCGCAACCTTCCTCGCGTAATGTTTGGGCGCTACTGTGTGCGTCACGTTAGAAGCGCGGCGCTGGCCGGCACGGACGCCGGAGGGGAGCGGTGAGGTTGTCGCAGGGAGATGATAAAAATGGAGATTTGATCAAATCCCAAAGGTAGAAAATGGAGATTGGATCAAATCCCTAAGATAGATGATCAGATCACAGGTGGGGTGATTTCACACACTTCCGTGAATTGATGGATCATCTACCTTAGGGATTTGATCAAATCTCCATTTTCATCATTTCCCTGCGACAAGGTAAAGGCGAGTGGTAACAAGCGAAACATAGAGAGATGAAATAAACATCTTTTCACTAAAACAGCTAAGGGATTTGATGAAATCACTTACTTTCTTTAGGGAAATCACCCCACAGAGTTGTTATTTTAACATCTTCCGTGAATTGATCATCTAACTTTAGGGATTTGATTAAATTTCCATTTTCATCATTTCCCAGCGACATATACATTCGTACATTAGCGTACATTCGCGGTTCAAAATCGCAAGCCGTTGCTGGCGCGCTCCCGCCTCGGTATTTGCTGCCGTTTCACATTGCTGGCTAGCAACAAGGACGACGCGACGAACGGAGCGAAATAGAGATAGGACGCCAACTGTGGCGGCACCTAGCGAGGTTAATATTATCCTGCCTTCGTGCCCCTCGCACCGCCGGCCCTCGCGTCGTCACTACTACCACCATCGCCCATCGTCGGTCCTACTTACTACCACCACTATCTGCGATATATTCACCGTGTCACTACTGCACTCTCACCACGATTCACGACGCCGAGGGCTTCAGCGTGGCGAGCCGTGTGTTGTAACACGGTGTAATATATATATATGCATGTGCGTATGTATAACGTACAATTCCCTCACATCGCTTTCAACGTCGCGGTTTTTGCACGCGCGTAGAAACGCAAAGGATGCCGTTATACGCATAACCGCTACTTGGTCTCTCGAAGATAGCAGTGGGCAACACGAGACCGGTATACATAATCAAAGACCTCGAGAAAGACGAGTAAATATAGACATCTTTTTCGTGCGTGTTTAACGCGTCGCGAGGACTCGAGACGCTGGCCGAGATTGCTACACCGGCGTTTCACCGGAGGATTTCCGCGGGAAGCAGTGTGCGATAAAGCTGCCGCCTTCGTCATTGCGTTATCACCGGTCTAATCGATGCGAGCCGGCAGATCGATACGTCGTCGACTGCTTTCAAGTCGATGCGCATCAGAGGAGAAAAGACCGACGGGACGGTTCCTTTCGCCGAAAGGAGCGAGAGAAAGTATCACGCGATAGGGGAGTAGCGTCGTCCTCGTCTCTCACGGCGACGCTATGAATTGAAACGCAGAGAGAGAGAGAGAGATATTTCATAACACGTTGTGAATAGAAAAGTAGAGAGCGAGAGAAAGAGAGATCGTCCTCGCGTGCATTCTCGCAACATTCTTGGGTATTGCCCGCGGAAAACAGCGTGCATGCAATATGTGTGTACGTATTATGCACGCGGGTCCCATGTGCGCGCGCGCGTATGTACATATAGGCGACGTAAACAAACGAAGCAGAAGTAGCCGAACGCGAGGGACAAAAGAAACACGAGGCCGCCGATCGGCGGCGATGTACCCGTCTTCGATCGCGCGCGGGCGACCGCGGGCGACCGAGAAGCGAGGGGGGAGCACGAGGGGGAGAAGAGAGGATCCGACGCGCGGGACGACGATGCCGCCATAGAACCGCCGCAAGTAGAGCACGCGTCGTGTCGCGCGCGCGACGGCAAGGGCAGGTAATTTCCAACGATCGTTAGGCGTCCCGCGAATCGCCCCGAGAACACACATCGTCACGAAGAGGAACAGAGAGAGAGACAGGGAGAGAGATACGGCGGAGAGGAGAGGAGGAGAAAGAGAGGGGCATCGCTCGCTGACTCTCGTTCCCCCCGCGCCCCACATCGGCCCCTTCACTCCTCCCCGCCTCCCCCGTCGCCCCCGCGTGCTAACCAACCTTTCTCGACGACCGCGCGACTATCTCCACGATAAATTCGAAAGCGATCGAGGCGAGGGTGACGAAAGAACCGGGATCGCGATAATCCGCGGAAAAGAGCTCGGCCAACCGATGATAACGTCCGATCGCAGCGGCGGAGAAGCCGAGGATTTCGCGAATTTGGCGCGCGCGCGAGCGAGCGCGAGAGAGACGGACAGATAGATAGAGTGAGATGGAGCGTACCGACGCCGAGCGCGCGCGGGCGAGATTTTTCCGCCGACGAATCGATACCGCGCGCATTTACGTACCGGTGGACGCATATATATACTCACTTTGCCTCGGTGTCCGCCATACCGATCGATTAGATCGCGAGAAATGCACGCGCGAAACAGCACCGAACTTGCAACGAGCACACCTCCAGTCGACACGGCGTTACGCGTCTTCTACGCACCGGTAAGCACACGTCGTGGATTCCGGTAACACCGCTGCCGCGTACCGACGCGCAAATGGCAGAGGGAAACGCGCACTGATTCGCCCGAGACCCGAGCGACTCCGGCCCGGCCGGCGGGCCGGCGGCCTTCAAACGCTTTTCTTTCCCGCTCGTTTACAGATGGCGCGCCGGCCGCCGCCACTCGCCGTACGCGCGCGCGCACACGCTCCGCTCGCGTCGCTTCGTACGCAAGGGAGAGATCGGAGACACGGTGTGTCTTTATCGTCGCGTTCACGGGGACGGATAAAACGGGAGAGACGTAAAGATCGTTCCAAGGGGTGTATTATTGCATCATCGACAACGTACAATATCGTCGCGTCGACGTAGCTTCTATCGGTATTCTTACCGTGTGTGTACTGACGTACACGTAACGAAATCGGTTCTCAGATAGAGCAAATTTCTAAGATTTCTTAAAGACGTTTAAAAGATCTATTTAACACAATGTTACCACAATGACATTTTGTAACATGTAACGTTTTCAAACACGTAGTTCTTAATGTTGCATATAACGTCGGTGTTAACAATATTTGACGTAAACATTAAAATTAATTCTTTTGCATTATGATTTTAATATTCAGGAATATTATACCGTCAAGTGATATTTGAACAACTGTTTATAAAATGTGATGCTGAATGTTTCATAAGATCCTCGTAAAATGAAAATTTCAAAATATTAACTTAATATTTTTTGCTTATCGGAGACGCTCTATTTCTTAGATAATCCTTCAGGCGTCTTTAAGAGGTCTTTCAGAAATTCGTCCTGCCTGGGTTAATAATTATGGCGAGAACGCAAAAAAAAGATCGTGTACACACGGCTCTGCCTGTCCGTTCGATTGAGATATGATTTCGGTCAATTGAGAACGTCGTAGCGAAAGTGATTTCTATGTCGTGGCAATGGAATAGATAACTGACGTAAGGTACATCGCTGCATATTCATGTCTTCGCGTCGCGTGTGAATCAGAATGATATACCGGTCCGATTGCTGCTTCCTATACGTCAACATATACATTTATTACGGACGAACCGTCATATTTTTCGTGCCCAATGTTTTATTCAATACGTACGTCCCTTCCGGTCTTTACCTCCGTTATCGCTCATTCGCGTGTAAAATCCTCCGCCGAAATAGCCGCGAAATATCGCTCGCTCGTGCGATTCCACCGAGCTGTCCGCGAGGGCAGCTTCGGGATCGATCGTCCCGAGTCTTCCCGGAGACCGTTGAACGTTTATTGAATTTCAGGAGCGCCATTGCGCGTCGTCCGGATCTTTTGAGCCGGGGCTCAGCCGTGTCGCGATCGTCGACGGTAAGCATCGGCTCAAGTAGACTT